TACCCCTTGATTTTATCAATGTCGTGCAGCATATCCAACCAGTACAGGTTGACTCCGTTCGCCCGCTGATCGGGGAAGAAGAACGAGCCTATGCACCACATTATAAGGGCCGTCGCCCTTCGTTCGTAGACCTCGACGTCTTCTCCGTCTGAGAGCTCTCGTTTGCATTCAGCCTCTAATGGGCCGACATTGAAGAATTGGCCTTTAATGGACCAATTCTTGGGCTCGTACGTCGGGTCATCTCTATCCTGTAATTGATTTTTAAAATAAAAAATAAAAAACGAGCAAATTAGAGATAAAAAATTAAAATAGAAAATAATACATTTATGCATAAATTAAAATAGTTGAAATTTTAATAAACGAGAAATGAGTGTCACTATAAATATAAAATATAATCACTATGCTATAAAATTTGTATTTTTTTATTAAATTCGAGTAAAATATATGAAATTGTAAATGTAAATACTATTTGAGATAGAATATATACCTGGACATTGGGGCGAAACCCTAGCAAGTCCACACACGTCTCGCCATTGTTGGGGAGTCGTATCCGCAGTCCTTCCCCAACAAGCTTCTCCATTGGCCGGGAGGCCAAATAGGACTTGAACGTCCTGCAGCGTTATTGTGGCCTCCCCACAATCGAAGTGGAAGGTATGCGTCTCGGGACGCCACCTTTCCACGAGGCAGGTGATGAGGCTGTTGTCCGTTGTTACCCGGCCTATCCGAAACAACGGGCCAAAACCTGCCAGGTCGATTTGCTCCCAAACTTTATCGTGCTGCTTCTCCAATGCGGGCCAGAGCTCACTGTCGTTTCGGCGGTTTGTAATGATGCCGTTACGATAGCCTTGGTCATCGTCATATACCGCCTTGGCCCGGTGGCGGCTATGAAGATACAGAAGCGACCCGTCAATCGGACCGGGTTGCACATTGTACTGGCGAGCCTGTGAGGACGACGAAGATGCCATTTTCTACATTTAAAAAAATAAAACAAGTCAATATAAATAAGAAAGCGTATAAGTTCAAATAAGAAACCAATTAATTAATTTCACAATATAATAATTAATTACAATAACACAATCATATTCAACAAAAAACCTATTTACAGTAACACAAAAAATATTTATCAATTTATCCCTAATTGTAAAGTCACAATGAATCACTACTGTAAAGTCACAATGAAAAAAAAACTAACATAGTAACATTTTTGTTTCAATTCATGAAAGTGTAAACAAACACATTGCATAGCTCCTGTGGATATCAAACACATTTTCACAGGGAAATTGGAATCCCAAAAAAATCATAGCTCCCAACATAACTATAGGTTTTGGGCCAACATAACTATAGCTCCTGTGGATAGCTCCCATTTCCTCTATACAGTCATGCAGCAACTCACCAACCAGAAAAACCAAGAAAATGCACGAAACAAACACCGATGCAATTCATATAACTAATCCTGTACAAACGTAGGGAGGTTTACAAACGAAACGCCCACAAGATCAAATCAAAATATCTACATGATACACATCTCAACTTCATCCCATAGATTTTTAAACAAATATACTCACTGCAAGAGACATGGCAATTTCACAAAATTCACAGTATATACAAATATACAATCACAATCACAGTCCTTCTCTCCCCAGCCAAACTCAAATTCTTTAGCCACAATCACACATGTCTCAAATTCCACAAAACCTTCAACCGAACAAAGCTCACAACAACACAACGGAGGCAATTTAGATGTACAAAACAAGCATTCTCTACATCTACACCTAATTTATCAAATGAAACCCTAAGCCCTAATTCAAAAGCTATTGAAGAATTGAGAAAATCGAAGCCCTAATAGAAGAAATGTACCTAATAGTTGGGAAGGAGGTCCGACGGCGATCCGGTGTCGAAGATTTTCGGTCGAAATTTTCCGGCGATTCTTCTCTCTCTCTCTCGCGCTCTCCGTTCTCTCGCTCTCTGTTTCTCTGTGCTGAGGGTTGCTGAGTTTCTGTTCGCGTAAAGGGGGAAGAAGAAAATTTTTGGATTTATATTTAAAAGAAAAACGTATACGCCGAATACGTTTCTTGCCTAATTATTTGTAAAACGTATTCGG